TTGAAAGACAATCACAGGAGCAGGAAAAGTGGGAAACAAGGGAACATGACCCAATGACCACCACTGTTATTGCAATCAACAATGAAGAACCCCCAAGAAACCCACCACACAAGTAGGTCCAGCACTAAGGACGAAGAACGAAAGGGAGGGATGGGGGGAAAGAGAGTGCGAGCGAGCGAGATAATTTCATGTCCAACCGAAGAGATAGGGAATGATGTCACCGTGGGGCAACTGTTGGCCTTCTTTCCGCCAGCAAAGGGTCATCGTGAACCTTCAACCATGGGTTTCTCCTCGCATTTAGACCCAAGGATTGCCACCAGCACGAGGCCCAACCAGTTGAGGATTTTGTGAGGCCTGATGAGCGAATCGGACCTTGGTGGGTAGTAGGACCATGTAACCGGGTCTGATTCCGTCATTTAATCCTTTCCAGATCTCGAGCTAGGAAAAGGCGGAAGGATAGGACACTGTAGGTAAAAGTAGATAGAATGGAGGCTAAAATAGCTGCTACATTGGGGGAGTAGGCAGCACTGGAGTCTCCAGAGTGAGGAGAGACCGGGGGGGGGGAAATGCGCAGTAGTGCAAGACGTGTGTGCCATCGGGCGGGATTGAAATTACATGGGCTAATGACCGGGCACGATGGCTCTACTTCCTTTCCGACTCTCCGTGACGAATGTAAATCGTCTAGATTATCTTGATATATTCCATGTAGTACCATCTTTAATGGGCCTTAGACTCGCGGAAAAAAAGAAGAAAGAAACAAAAACAAAAAAAACTGCAAGGCAGTTGACCCTGTAGGTACTACTGTGTACTAAGTATTCCCGTTTTCTATTATTCTATACAGTAAGGAGATGCTTGCATCAGGTCGTGAAATATTCCACTCTTGAGGGACAACGAAGATTCCATACCTAGTACTTACTACCCACTAAGTCCCTCTAAAGTCTAGACACTCATTGAGGATTTAGTCCTACTCGGGGCACAATGCCATCACCAGGCACAACAGTAACTAAAATACTGTATCATCCACCAAAAATTCAAGGTTGCCCTACTACGTATCTAACAGTGTTTAGTATCCCTCGAAGTCACCTGCCCATCACAGATTATAACGATGGAGTAAGAGAAAATGGAGTCCCCTCACACTAACTACGGAGTAAAGGTGGAGAATGCTAACCTGCGTGCCTCCAATTCCCAACTAATCCACTAGTCCAGAATATTGCCTAATTACAGCCGGACCATAATTATAGAGAACCCACCAGATTCCCACTTAAGCGTGACACTATCATCCCAGTTTGGCCCCTGCTGCTCCGTAGGAAAAAGGGTAAAAAAGGAATGGTGTGTTTGGGTCAAACAGACGACCACGCTATCTTTTTAGCGTCCAAGACGGCGTCTTTGCTGTAGCGGGCCAGAGAGTGAGAGAGACTGAGTTGAGTATACTGTTTTTGGTAATGGGCTGGAGAAGTGAATGGATCCTTTATCCTTGCACCTGCGTAGCATTATCTAGATATGGTAGTTTTGTTACATGAATGGTCGTTGCTCACCCGCAAGAGGTATATTTACTTGACAATTAATATTTATTCATCATCTTTCCTTTATTTGTGGCTCTGATTGACAACCAACTATCTAGATAATCATCGTGATCATGGTTCTGGACTCTTTAGTCCTCCGCTGCTCTTCCTTTCCCACTTTCCTATCTTACTGCTAAATCATTTCCTTGTTTCTCTGTCGTCGGGGAACTATTTTGATCGTCTGATCTGGCAGTCACTTCATCGAGCTACAACTATTGGCAATAACCTTCGTGTAGCACTCACGAGGTGTCAAGTGATTAGAGATGATCAGAGCGTGCAAAGGTCATGCTCGTGGAGATATTTCCGCTACATGTTCATAGCGCAAAAGTGGCCGCTATTATTGTTGGGGGAGATATGTTGGCGCAGAATACAGGTATTGCCAGGAGACATCTCGAGAACCCTCGTTCGGCAATGACATACGAGATGAGGGAAGGTGCTCCCGATGCAGCGTCGGCTATGTCCCGTGAAATCGATAAAATCTTGCTCTTACTCCATTCGCTGCAAAAGGTCTTTGGCTAACGCAGGTGACCCTGATGAATGACCCGGGTCCCTCAGCGACGCAAGGAGTCCATCCCATCACAAGGTCCGTCACTCTCACTTCGATTTTCCATGTCATAAGAAGCAGAACGTGTTTTACATTGCCCCATCTATGATGCGTTAAGGATAAAAAACAAACACCGCAACAGCTTTCCGCAGATGATGCTTCCATGCATGCCTAGCAGTCATGTCCATCGGCCAAAGGTTGCCGTCGAGATAAAAATGATAAGAAAAAGTAGAACAGCGGGGAAAAAAAAAGAGACAGGGGTACATTCATAGATGAAGGCATAGACAAAATCGAAATGATATCTCGACTGGACCGAAGATGGATCTATACAAAACTTGGTTCCGTGGCGCCAAACGACTGCCTCCCTGGACCAGCAAACCGCATTCGTGGGGATAACCGATGTGATACACCATCGTCCAAACATGCACATGGAGAGAGAAGAGCTACTAAAACAAATAGTGAAAAAGGTATAAGCCGAGGGCGGATGCAGAGCAATAGCTTCTGTCCTCCCACTTTCAGGTGGGCCCCATTAGCCCCAGCTGCACGTTAGAGCGTGCTTAGAAGGGAGGAGGGACCATGTCCTCAGGGCTCATCTTCTCTTGCTGCTCCATCAGTTCCTCGCCCGCGATCTCAAGGGAAACAGCAAGACCGAGCTTGGCCGTTTGCTACAAAGAGAACAACATGTTAGTGACTAATTATCCACCTGGAATGAAGGGACACTGCAGGAAGTGAAGCTCACCTTGGCCTGATCGATCTCACCGGCAAAAGTAAGAGCGATGGGCATAGCTATCCGCTTCTCCAGAAGGCAGCTGACCTTTCCGGTGCTGTCGACCTGAGCACGGAAAGTGGAAGCACGGAAGTCGTACTTGGCGCCAATGGCAGTGGTGCCGTCACGGCTGGGACCACCCATGAGAGCAGCAGCAGCGTTAGGAGCGAACTGGAGGTTCATGTCAACACCAGCCTCAACACGCTCGGAGAGCTTCTTCCAGTAGGAGGCGGTGATGACACCCTGAGCCTGCAGCTGAGCACTGGCAATCCAGTCGGCGGTCTTGTAGCGGGCACCGTAGGAGAGAGCAGATTCAGGACGAGCGTTCATGGCCTGGCGCTGCCAGATAGCCTCGAAACCAAGAGCCAGGTTGGGAGTAACAGACTGGAGATAGCTTCCGACGAAAATACCGGTAAGACCGCCCTCCAAGCAAGAGGGGTTGAAAGCCTTGAGAGACGCGGAGAAATCGTCGCCGGTGTAGTCATTATCAAGCTGCATCAAACCCTGGCCACCGGGCATGATCTGAGTGTTGGTCTTGGTGACAAACTTGGGGGTCCAACGGTAGTTGCCGACAGCAGCGAGACCTCCATCGCTTCCGAGGTTGCCTTGCATGAAGACCTAAAGTCCCAACGAGAGAAATTGTTAGTCATCTACACATAATATATATTCAGAGGTAACATATAATCATTGCACCTTACCTTAGGACTTCCGTACATGGCGGAGAAGTTGTATGGGGGCATGTTGCCGGATCCGCCCATGGAGAAAGCATGCGACACACGGAACAGAGGAGACATGCCGAAAACCTTGGTCAGGTCCGCCCGGAGACCGGTGAACATGAAGTTGGACAGCAGGACATCCTTCTGCACCTCCCGGGAGATGTTATCCAGGGTGCCAGGGTTGGGAAGGCCGAGGGCGGCCCTGCGCTCGGAGAACGAGGTGTATGCATCCTTGAAGGCCGCGGCCACGGAATTGTCCGTGAGGAAGGAAGGCAAAGCTAGAGAGTCGGACATTATGAAGTCTGATGAGATATTAAAGGTCGTTATACAGGACGGGAGAGAAACGGAGGATGATCGTTATACGCGGTTCGTCCTTGTTGGGAGGAGGAAAGAGGAAAAGAGAAGAGTCCTCGTTGAGACCAGCCCGGAAATTGAACCTGGAAAGGCGAAGAGCAACGTGAGGGATAACACGACGCTCTTGCTAATTGAGGAGTGAAGGTTGTGTCCGACCTGCTCTGGGGGATTGAGAGGAGGGAGGTTGAACACCAGGGCAGATGGATTGGGGGAGGGAGATGGATGAGATGGTGATGGGGAAGTTCAGTTTCCAGGCGTTCTTTCGACTGCCAGAGCTTTCGGCTTGAAAAAAGTGACTGGCGCCTTTCCGCCCCGGCTGCGCTGGGCCGTCGCTGTGCTGCGCCGTAGCCACTGACTCCCTCAATTTAGTTTAGCCCGCTTCGGGCTGCGCCGGGATTGGGATCTTTAGTTTGGCCGGCGATGATATAATCCTCGAAGCTATCTAGTTAATTAATTAACTAACTAGTTCATCTCTCTCAATTCGTGAAGTAGAGAAGAAGAGAAAAGCAGAGGTCTCACGGATCCTATATCATATTCTTCGGAAATTTGTTGTGCTCGAATTGTCTCGACTTTGTCACAAACCCTTCCTATCTCTGTCTGTCTGTCTCTCTCTCTCTCTCTTTTTCCTTTTCTCGGAGACGAGCAACCAATCGGGTGGGGATCGGTCTATAGTTTATACCACCGACGGTGTACAGCTCTAGTACACTACTAACTAACTACTACTTACTACTTGGTAGTCAGGTAGTCACTAACTTACTGACAGTTACAACAACTTGATTAGTCTCTGCTGCCGCCCGATTGGGCTGTCTTAACTTTTTTTTTCTCCCCTGAGAGTGTTTCCTTGCAAAAAGCAGTACTTATTACTTCTACTACCTAATCTTCCGTCATTACTGGGACTTGCTTTTGTGCGGGGATGTGCTGAGCGCCTTCCTTCGTCTCTATTGCTCTCTACCGATACCCCTCGTTAGCCCAGCCCAAGCTTGACTCTACTATTCTTCCTTCTCCCCGAACTACCCCATCCCATCCCATCCCATCTCGCCATTATTATCATTACCGCCATGGATACGTTACTGTAAGCTCGATTCAGTCCTTCCTTCCTCAATACGTTTCGCTTCTTCTCCGAATCGTCGTGCTGGGTCCGGAGTACTTTGCGATACTGCTGAACCTTTCCCGATTATCGATCCCACTTGCTCTAACGTACTCTTAGTACCGCGGATATCGTCGCCAACTCCCCGCGATTCCGGCGCAAGTCGTCGACTTTCGTCGATGCAATTCACGACCTGCCTGAAAAGGCCGATTTGGCTCCCGCACAGCTCTACAGCACCGAATCCGGCCGACTCTTCCACTCCGGCCGCATTGTCATCATCACGGTAGGATTACCGGCAAGAGGCAAGACGTTCGTTTGACCAAACCCATTTGTCATTGGTCCATACCAACTCATTAACCTTTGGTCAGGCATATGTCGGTCGCTCTGGCACGTTACCTTCGCTGGTAAGTACACCATCCGGCTCATGGCTGTATCGCTGGCAGAGCCGAATTGACATCATCGCAGGTTAGGTGTCAAGACAAGAATATTCCACCTCGGCGATTATCGACGTGCTACCATCCCCTACGGCCAAGATATCCCTGATGACTACTTCTTTGTCAACGGTACGTGATGGCCTCTTATATCTACCCAGACGTACCTTGGCCGGCCTCAGTGGCTGACCACTTTTATTTGGACAACCTCGCTTGCTAACTGAACATGTAGCGTCGGCTTCGTCTGTGCTCCTAAGGCAGAAGATTGTTAAGCGATGTCGCGAAGATATATACCACTTCTTGAATCATGAGAATGGGCAGATAGCGATATACGATGCAGTCAATCCCATCGCTTCGGGACGACGGTCACTCGCCAAGGAATTCTCCAAGCATGATATAGAGGTACTCGAAATCGGCCTACCCTTTATATCACACATTTGCTAATATTGCCCTCCATGGAAATCCAGACTCTATTCATTGAATCGTGGTGTGACGATGAACGTATAATCGAGGAGAATGTCCGACGGGTCAAGATATCCTCACCCGACGTACGTGTACCTACCATGGAACCCCAATTCTATCGCGCATACTCACCATTGGCAGTACGTAGGGTGGTCTTCAGAAGACGCGGTCAAACATTATTTGACTAGGATAGCTGCCCGTATCCCCCAATTCCAGACTATGGAGGAGACGGACCTGAATTACATCAAGGTATCTGCTATATCCTGCAAAATGCGGTTTCCCTTTCGCTAATATCTCACCAGATGATCAACGCAGGTGAACGTTTGATTGTAAACAACAAAAGCTTTGGCTATCTCTCTAATCGGATTGTGTTCTACCTCTTGAACCTCCATATCAAATCAAGACACACGTATTTTGCCAGAGTCAGTCTGCCTGTTGCGACGCATATTGACGGGAGATCTTTAATTTACTGACGAAAATGTGTGTGACTAGGCCGGTGTTTCACTGGAAGCAGGCTCATACAAAGCGGATGCCTCACTATCCGAGCAAGGAGAGGAGTACGCCAAAAAGATGACAGAGTGCTTGCTGCAGCACAGGGAGGCTGAAAGACAAGCTATGGCCGATCAAGGGGAGAAAGACTACGAACTAAAGCCGCTGACAGTCTGGACGTCTACGCGACGGAGGACAGTCGAAACCGCCAAGTATCTCCATGAGAAAGGATACAAAGTACGGCAGCGATCACAAATGAGCCAGTTGAACCCTGGGGTATGCGAGATGATGTCGGAACGGAAAATCCGCCAGGAGTATCCGGACGAGGTGGCGAAGCATGATCTTGACCCCTATCACCATCGTTACCCTCGAGCAGAGGTAGGCCGTGTTCTTGTTTGCGTTTAGTCATGGAGGGTTCCGAAACTGACTATATTGGTAGTCCTATCATGACCTTGCGGTACGGCTGGAGCCGATTATCCTGGAGCTTGAGCGCGAGCAGAATGATCTCTTGATTATCGCGCACGAGAGCGTATTAAGAGTGCTTTATGGATACCTGATGGCATGCAATGCAGCCGACATTCCATTCCTGGAGTTCCCACGGGACGAGATAATTGAAGTGAGGCGATTGTTACAGGTTTAACGGCGTTGAACACCTCAGCTAACTGACTTCTTCAGATAATACCCGAAAGCTATCAGAACGAGGCGCGCCGAATCCACATCCCTGGTCTACCCAAAGAGATCATCCCTGGCTCACCCGAAGACATCAAGATTCCCGTCCCGCCGAGTGGGATGATGACCCCGCTGGCTGGGGGACTTGGCAGCCCAAAGGAAGGCCTCGCAACGCCGCAGAGCGGCCTTCGAACTCCTCGGGAGCCCGAGAGGATCTCACAGCAGCATGTGGAAGATGTTGTCTAGATTCGCATTCCATCTTGTATATAGGACCCCGCGACCGCTTGCCCGTAGGAGTATCGTCGGTACGATTGTGAACGTAGATAGTCATTAGCGCTAGCCCCCATGAAGCGTAGAAACGAAGACAATGTTATCCTTCTGCTGAAGCTCGTAATTCTCCTCGCCTTCGAGCTCCCAATCAGCGTCGTTGATAAGGACCAAGATACCCGGTCGTCTGGCGCACAATGTCAGCCTGATCGCGTTGCACTGTATTCCCATGCGATGAGATGGAACGTACACGTTGCCTTCCAAAATGAACAATTCCTGCCTCTGATCCTTCATATAGTTCTTCACCAGATGACCCAGGAGGTAGCTGATAGTTGGCCGGCTGCCGTCGTCAAGGTGCGAAGGTAGGGTGACGTGGTGTTTGCGCTCGTTGGCAAACAGAATCTCTAGACCTCCTCTGTTTGTGCAAATCAAGCCAAGTCAGTCATGAGTTTTGAAGCCTGGGGTGATTGCATGACAAGGGTGAGAGCCGAACGTGAACTCAACGGTAATAGCAATGGAACCGGCGCCATCTTTGCCCAGCTCAGGGGCTTCAAGGTTCGTGACCATCTTATTTATTATAAGAGAGATGTATAACTAAAGCCCTAGTAAGGTAAGGTGATGAATTGGGGGGTTGCGCGGGCTCGTCAGGGCTCGTGGACAAGGCGTAGTTATTGCGGCGAGGATGGAGATGGAGGGGTTGACAAAAGACGGGGTCCGGATTTCTCGCAGCTTATCGATAAGCCGCCCAGTTTGCCGGCACAAAAAGTCGGCTGGCTGTGCGATCCATTCGAACATGGTTGGTTGGTGACGAACAAGCCCACCCCTCACTCTTACTTCCTTCCCTGTCTGTGGCTCCGTTGGCCTGCCTGACCTCCTTCAAGATAAATTAAAAACCAATTGCTCGAACTTCCGACTTAGACGAGCTCTTCATGGTCTCCATCACGACTGAGTACATCAGCGTCGGGGGCAATAGGCATCCCGCCGCCGCTGATTGGGACGTCCAGTCAGGCGTGCTTGCCTTTGGCGCAGATAACAATGTAGCTCTCTGGGATCCTCGAGTAAGTTACTCCTCAAGATCCGCTTGTTTGCTTCCGGGATGGTGTTAGTTTGGATACTGATGGCGGGGCCTTGGGTGATGATGTAGGAGAGCTCCCAGCGCGGGGTCTATTCGCTTCTTGTCGGCCACACCGACAAGGTCAGTGTCGTTCGGTTCTACACATGCCCTTCTACCGGAGCAAGACTTCTCTTGACTGGCTCTGTTGATCATACGGTCCGGTTATGGCGCCCCGATTCAGAAAACTCCCGCCAATTCGTCCACGCGCATACTTTGGAAGGACATACCGGCTCAGTCAATACCATCGCCATAGCCGAAGGATTGGACATCGTCGCATCGGGCGCAGCTGATGCTACTGTGAAGATATGGAAGATCAGCACGCAGGGGGAGCCGAAGGGCGAGCTCTTGAGATCTATTCCCATGAAGCCACGCTTCTTTCCGTTGGCTTTGGCGTTGACACCGCTTCGAACGGAGTCGAATGACAGACCTGTGGCTCTGGCGGTGGCAGGGACCACAAACATCGTGCAGGTATATGTAGCAGAGAACACTCTTGTCCACCCCGATTTCAAGCTTGCGGCTGTGCTGTCCGGACACGAGGCGTGGGTGCGCTCCTTGTCTTTCACGTCGGATAAGCAGAGCAAGACGGGTGATCTGCTATTGGCCTCAGCCAGTCAAGACAAGTATGTTCGACTCTGGCGATTTCAACGTGGAGAGGTTACTCAGGCCACGCCGGCGTGTGATGACGATCCTATGCTGGGTGGCTTCGAGCCGACGCTATCGAACAAGGCGCATCAGTTCACCGCGGCGGGGACCAAATACTCTGTTACATTCGAAGCTCTGTTGTTCGGAAACGAGGACTGGATTTACACGACTGCGTGGAACCCTGACCCAGAGCGCCAGCAACTTCTCACTGCTTCGGCAGACAACACATTGACCATTTGGGAACAAGATCCGGTCTCGGGAGTGTGGCTTTCTGCCGAAAGAATGGGAGAGATCAGTGTTCAGAAAGGTTCCACTACAGCTACTGGTAGTACTGGTGGGTTCTGGATTGGTCTTTGGGCCCCAGACGGCAAGCAAGTTGTAAGTCTGGGCCGCACTGGAAGCTGGCGCTCGTGGAAATATGATGCGGAAACCGATATGTGGGCGCAATCCCTGGGTATCTCAGGGCATGTGCGATCAGCCAACGGGGTCCAATGGGAGCCTACTGGAGGATATCTCCTGTCGACAAGTGCGGATCAAACGACACGTCTGCATGCCCAGTGGCTGCGGGATGGACTGAAGTCATGGCATGAATTCTCACGACCTCAGATTCATGGCTACGATTTGAATTGCGTGGACACTCTGGGCCCGGCTCGGTTCGTGTCCGGTGCCGAAGAGAAGCTATTGCGAGTGTTCAATGAGCCTGGGCCTATCGCACAGCTCCTAGAGAAGCTTTCTGGCTTCAAACAGACGACCGAAGGAGCACTGCCAGACACAGCACAGATCCCCGTCCTGGGATTGTCGAATCAGGCCCCGGCCGATGATGCGCCTACAGGTGAAGACGGAGTGGAGGGTGAGGAAGTTGGAAAAGCTCAGGCTAATCAGGCGCTTTTGGCGGAATCAAACCAACCGCCATTGGAAGATCAGCTGGCCCGCTACACATTGTGGCCAGAGCATGAGAAGCTGTATGGTCACGGATACGAGATTTCAGCTGTGGCCGTCAGCCACGACCGCACACTAATTGCCACCGCGTGCAAGGCGAGTTCGATTGATCATGCCGTGGTGCGTCTGTACGACACGTCGGACTGGCACGAGATTCGTCCATCTCTTGCCGCGCACACCTTGACCATTACTAGTCTCGCTTTCTCCAGTGACGACCAGTACCTTCTGAGTGTCGGGCGTGACCGGCAATGGGCTGTTTACCAACGCAGCGAACAGGACCCCTCTACATTCTCCCTTCTAACTTCGAACCCCAAGGGCCACTCCCGAATGATCCTCGATGCCGCATGGGCACCTGCGTCGGGCAAGCCCATCTTCGCAACCGCTGGCCGGGACAAGTCAGTGAAGCTGTGGCAAATGACCGAAGGCTCTTTTGAGTGTAAATCTACCATCCCGTTGACAACGCCTGTCACTGCACTGGCGTTCCTTTCGCAGATATTCAACAACTCCTTCTTTGTGGCCACGGGCGAGGAAAGCGGGGCAGTGTCTGTCTACCAGGTTGCAGTCGACAGTTTGGAAGCCAGCCATTTGTCGAGTATCGACAAGCTTTCATCACCATCGAAGGCGATCACGCAGCTATCCTGGCGGCCGGTCCCTGATGCAGACACACGGAATTTTGCATTGGCGGTAGCAAGCGAGGACACTTCAACTCGGATATATAGTTTTTCGGACATGGTCTCATAACCAAAAAGGCCGTATATGTACAGAACCAAAAACTAAATGAGCAGGAAAGAAAAGAAATTATAATACCATGGGTTGAAATTTTGCGTCATGTTGAAAGCCCAGACTCCTGAGATGTTGAATATCTCCCTCCCAAGTCTAGAAATCCATCTAGAGACACAAACAGTTGAATGATGCTCCGAACCCCTGCTATGCATATGCAGTGATAGTGGCTGTTGAACCAATCATGTTGAACGATGCCAAAGAAAGTATATAAGAAGAGCAGATGAAACAAATGAAAAGGCGCACTTGCATGTCATCACGCAGCAGGTCGCTTTTCCAAGCCATACCCGCCCAAACCTTCCAGTGTCGGGTAAGTCTTAGCCTGACTAGTAGACCCATTTCTCGGACCCCTAGATTGCAAATCCTCCTTGAGCCACTTGAGTACGAGCACACCAAGCTGACTATTCTCGGAAGTCTCCTTGACCTCCTCGCGGAATTTCTCAATGGGACCCCACTGACGCACGCTTCCCAAATGCATATGGACAAGGTGAGTAGGCCACAGCGACAAGTTATCCAAGATATGGGTCGCATAAACGATAGTGCAGGGTCTGATCTCGGTCTCACGCTTAAGGAAGGCCAGGAAGTTGGCGCGAGAGAGGAGGTCCAGATCGACGGTGATCTCATCTAGTAGGAGGACTTGCCAGGGTCGGAGGAGGCCCATAGCTAGCTGGACGCGACGACGTTCGCCGTCCGAGACGGCGTGCATGCGCCAGCTGAGATCGATGTCGAGGATGTCGACGAGTTCATCCCGACGGTCAGGGTATGCATTGCCGCCGACGGAGGCGAGGAGGGTAGGGACGTCAATGTCGGTGCGGACGATGTTGTTGAGAACCCATTCCATGCCGAGGTAGGTTACGCCTTCGAGGCCGTCCTTGAAAGGGTCTTTGCCTGCTACGGTGATGGTGTCTGTGGGAGCTAGACGTTTGCCTGCTAGGAGGCGGAGGAGGGTTGTTTTCCCTGCGCCATTGGCTGTTGACAGTGGTTTAGAAGTTTAGTTTGGCTGATATGTGCAGCAGCAGTGATATTGGACATACCTCCGATAAGTAGGGTTCGACTGCCGGCGGGGGCCTGAAGATTGACATCGGTCAAGCCCGGAGAATCATCGGGGAACTGGAAGGATAGGTTCTTGACCTCAATTGAGGGGGAGGGGGCGTTATTGTCTGTCATGGCGAGAGATGCAAAGAGGGCTAAAAAGATGAGGGGTAAGCCAAGTTGATAGTAGGATAGCAGACTGCTCTTATCTAACTAGTAGGGTGGGTCACTCCGGTCTATGTCGTCGTAGATATTTATTGACGGTCCAAACGAAAATCTATCATTGAAAGGAAGGAGATAAAGTCTCAGCGAAGTGTAATGAGATTCAGGGAGAGAAGAAAAAGGAAGAAGTAGAGGAATTGGAGGAGGAGCGATAAGACCCGATGAGGTAATAATGGATTGCGATGGCGGGGGAATTTGCGCCGGGAATTTTTCCAGAGCCGCACCGCCAGAATTACCTCCCTTCGAGCCCATCAGCTCGCGGTCTTCTTTGCCAGATGCATTTGTCGAGGCAAGGATGCTAATTCAGCCCTATTTCTCAATTTCCTCTCATGCAACCATTCCTCCGACGCTTTATGTCTCTCAAACGCCCCTCCGTTATGAAGCCGCTCATCGCTGTCGTCGGTGCCACGGGCACGGGCAAATCAAAGGTGAGAGCGTTTACTCCGCCAGGATCTTGGGATTGTCTTTTTTTCTTATGAGGCATTGATTTACTGACGGTTGTAGTTAGCTTGCAGTGGACCTAGCCTCGCGATTTAACGGGGAGATCATCAATGGCGATGCCATGCAAATGTATCGCGGTCTCCCTATCATCACCAACCAGATCCCCGTCGAGGAGCGAAACGGTGTCCCGCACCACCTGATTAGCTGTGTTGAGCTGGATGAACAGCCATGGTTCGTGGGCAGATTCAGAAGCGAAAGTCTCCGACTCATTGACGATATTCACGCCAGAGGGAAAACTCCCGTCCTGGTCGGCGGTACCCATTACTATACACAAGCCGTTCTGTTTAAGGATCAGCTACTTGGCGAGGATGCCATTGCAGACGATGTGCCAGAGGAAGCGGAAAATCGATTGACGGAAGATAACGACCCGAAGTCTTCGACTAAATGGCCCATTCTTGACGCTCCTACTGAGGTGGTTCTGCAGAAGCTGAGAGAAGTCGATCCGGTCATGGCGGATCGATGGCATCCGAATGAAGCACGCAAAATCCGCCGCTCCTTAGAGATCTATTTCCAGACCGGCAGGCCCGCGTCGGAGATCTACGCGGAGCAACAGCGGACGAAGCGGGCAGCCCTGACTCGGGATGACTCCCTTACGGGTGCCGGCCACTTGCGATTCCCGACGATGATATTTTGGGTGCACTCGGAGAAGGAGACGCTCAACACGCGACTGGACAAGCGGGTGGATGCAATGCTAGAGCAAGGGCTAATGACAGAAGCCAGGCAGATGTCGGATTACTTCCAGGAAAAGAAAGCCCAGGGCGTCTCCGTTGACCAGAGCCGCGGCGTATGGGTGTCTATCGGATACAAAGAGCTAGCACCCTATCTCGAAGCACTATATGCAGGCTCGGTGGATGAAGCCGAGCTAGAGAACCTCAAGAAATCTGGCGTTGAGTCGATCAAGACTGCAACGCGGCAGTATGCCATGTCTCAAATCAAATGGATCAGAAACAAGTTATGGCAGGCCCTTGCAGACGCAAGCTCGACCAATCGCCTCTACCTCCTTGACAGCACCAATGTCGACGCATGGGAACAGAATATTACCGAGCCGTCCGAACGTCTTGTCCGCGCTCTGCTGGAAGACGAACCCACTCCCGACCCGAAATCACTGTCAGAACTCGCAAGGACCGTCTTAGGCGCCAAGGAGTCGCAGCCGCAGAAAGAGTCGGGATCCGTCACCAAGTGCAGGACTTGTGACATCTGCCACAAGACCATGATGGGTGATGAGCAATGGCAAATACACATCAACGGCTCAGTCCATAGGAGAGCTCTTAAGAGCGCCGCCAAACGGGCCGCGCGTGATGAATATCTACGAAAGCGACAAAAGCTGCTACACGAGGGCCAGGAAAAGGGCCCTGATTCTCCTGCGGAGCCAGATGTACAAGCCCCTCCGTCCCCTCAAACCAGATAGACAAACAATAAATGTCTTAGAGAATTCCAACAGCACCGAGGTGCCTTGCATTAAGATGCAAAGGTATCTGTGAGACCCTTGGGTAACTATGTAGAGAGATACTTCAGCGCAGTGCATGCTAGCAGACCCATCTGCATCTTTGCTTTCACACCGTAAATGTTTGCAGATAGCGGGTGCAGTCAAGACATCATTTGAAGAGCCCATAACATCTGGCCGAGTTTGGTATAGGGCTTGGCCTTTGGGGCAGCAAGTAGATGTCAAATAGAAAGCATTATATGCAGTGATTGCACGGCACATACTAGTCACTGCACTGGTTAGATCCGTCCAGCGACCGGGTCAGTTCAGACGATGTCGCAAGCGAGATCATATGCATCAAGCCAAGAGACATGCATATCCATATGTGCGGTTTGATTAGCAGCCCTATCACTTTTGCGCAACTTGGGGCCGCGGAGAGTCTCTCTTATTGGAGTAGTCCACAGACGCAGAACCATTGGAATTTAAGAAAAAATGTCAATGATTCAGTGTTTGTATGGCTCAAGATTTGGATCTCCAGGCTGAAAATGCTGGTGAGATGATATCGCCAGTTCCACTTTCTTCCACCTTAAAGACTTCGATTAGTGACGATTTCTCACGCTTGCGTATTCTCCATGTGCCTTCCTCTTGGATAGTAGTTTTAAGCCCTGCAACAGTCAGTTTAGATCCTGTTTCTTTCTTTCTTCGAGAATTATAATTCGAGCAGGCGAAATCGAAGATATACGCACATTCAAGAAAGGTGGCAGCAAAGTTAATGCAAATATTTCCGTCCCAAGTCCCCCGGCCAAGCTTCTTGACTTTTCCAGGTATGGCGGCAGTCTCGAGCTCCTCAAGACGATGGACGATACCTTGTTGGTCCCGAAAGCCGACAATGATTTTGGGTACACCGAGCAAGAATGACTGGGCCCAGAATTTCAAAAGCTTTCTTTCGTATTTGACCATGTCCCGGTCATTCCTTATTTCGGCGGAAGTTTTCAGTTCTACCCAATGGATGGGATCTTCTTTTCGCTCAGGTTTGCAATCCCAGACTGTGAATAGGATGCGTTAGAACATATTCATATGCGTTGCTGCAAGTGGTGGCGATGGAGCGGTAGGTGGCCTTATGACATACTTGCATCTACCTCCCCACCAATAACTAGGCGTGCGCGGCCGATGGCAGTGCGCACCACTGAACAATACTGGGCATTGTTGTTTACAATGAGCTCCTCTCGGTTTTCAATTTCTCTGCGAGGAGTCGGGTCCCATGGCTGATCGAGCACTGAAAGAGTCTCGAATTTATAGCCTGACTTGGTCAATAACATTTCTTGCAATAAGGAGAAGTGAGGTCTCACCCCAGTAGGCCATCAGATCCTGAGACGCCATTCCCGGAGGCATTCGTTGGTTCTTCTGAACTCGTTTCTGCTCATTTTTGTAGCTGTTGTTCTCTTCGATAAATCTAGACGGTTATTAGAGTCGAGAGCCAATAGATATAGCAGGCTAGCATGAACCAACATTGTGCCCTAGAAGTACATTAGCAATGAGTCCCCGACCCAATGGCCAATAACATACCTGGAAGCAGGTCGCGTTCATTTCAAATCTGTACGTAATTCAATGGCTGAAGCAGGAAAGCGACGATTTGAGAATACACACCCATTCAAGTTATCAAATGGAGCTGCAAGGATCTAGATTTACCAAACATGAGCATATTTCTCGGTCCTATTCAATTGGTACACATTATAGGCGATATCTACCTTGGTCATCATGCCTCTCCATGTGATGATATCAGCTTCACATTTCTTCTGGGTTTCTTGTTCCAGAGCCATGACTGTTTCGAGCAGAGCGTCTAGATGCTCATCAGCTGAATCATCTAGCTTTTGAAATGACTCGAAACCGCGATTCAGGTCCGCGGGGAGGCATGGGGGATAGTAATATTTCATCGATGAATCCCCGAGATGGAACTTATGCTCATCATCGTAAGAGAAACATGCAATCTCCTGGACAACGGTTAAGGGCCGGCTTTGGGCATTCGGAATTGGATATACTAGTGAAGCTTACCTTCGGACGTCGAATGGCAGCGCTAGCTTCGTAGAAGCGACCAATGGGCTGAATGTCAAAGGCCTTGCGGTCCATGTTTTGAGATATTGCCCGGGTCTGGTTGGTGACTGGATGTAAATGCGCCGAAAGGGTTACTCTATGTTGTACTCTTTCTGCCGTGCGCGTGCGCCTTTCACGAGATTATACCAGGGATTAAGACCGCATGAACTCAAGTGTCAAAGGTGTACTGATGTTGCTTCAGTAGAAAACAATTTGTCGTAAGAGCGAACTCATCCACCTCAAATATAGCTAGGTAAGAACCCTGCAGCTCGCAAATGCGGAGTGGAAGAAATAAGTTAGATCGTCGTTGCAGTAGTTCAGTCCAGCTGCTCCCGTCATTCTGGAAGAACCGAAGCGCGTCCCCACCAAAAGTCGCCCGGCCATCAACTTTCCCGGCCGCAAGTTGGCTTGACATCGTCAACCACCCCCCGTCCAGGCCTGGTCGAACTTGTTGTGGCCGCTTTTATCTTCGCTTTTACTCTCTTATACTATTTTGTGTGGCTGTATTGCTATAGCAAGTCATCGTTTTCACTGCATCTCCGACCTCTTGACAGTCGCCCCTGGTGATTCATCCGTTCAAGATGACCTCACGTATCGACAAGACAATTGCTCGACAACGAGAGAAGTGAGCCAACCCCACCTTGCTTCCCCCACGGAGCAGTTTCTTGATGTCTACATGTTTTGCCAAAAAGAATATGATAACTGACGCATCTTGTCTTCCTGAAGGATCGCTTCTGGTGCTTACTATGAAGCTCACCAGCAACTGCGGGTCATCGCTGCCCGGTATATCAAGCAAGCGAACTACGATGCGGCGGCAGAGATCCTTGCTGGTGGCGCCGCCGCACTACTGAAAGCTGGATCTCAACAGGGTGCTTCTGCCAGTGGCGGCGATTTGGCGATCATGTTGGTGGTTGAAGTCTACACAAAGGCGGGGTGGGAGATCACTGGAGGAAATGACGATGCGGAGGGGCGGGCTCGGAAGAGTGAGTGCTTGTCTATGCCCTGTTACACATCGCCGCGCCAGGTTGCCGATGTATTACGATGCCTTTTTGAAGTATATGCGGACTGACCGAGGGCTCCCTCTATCTACAGAGCGCTTAATCGAACTTCTGCACGAATTCCCGCCCGAGGAGCCTACCCGGAAAAGGTTTATCCAGGAGATGATCGGTTGGAGTGGCAGGTTTGGACCCTTAGAACGCGGCGACCCTGAGTTGCATCATGCCGCTGGATCGGTATACGCGGAAGGTATGCAGACCCATATTACTTCTGATTTCGAGGGCGACTTCATAACAGCTATCTCTAGACCACGAACCCTATGACGCGGAAAAGCATCTCATCTTTGGTACCTCGGAATCAGCTGAGACTCTGGCCAAACTGGAATTCGAGTGGTACACCCATGACGAACCGCACAATGCCGCAATTTATGCCTCTCGCGCGGTATTCCCATATCTCTTGATCGGAAACCTTCGCAGCGCCAACAAAGCCTTCCTTATTTTCACGTCAAAGCTTTCCTCCACCAACCCCTCACTCGGCGTGCAGGATGTCAGTAGCGCTAGCTCTGACGTACGCGTCTTCCCCGCGCTGCCATTGTTGAATTTCATCAGCATGCTGCTTCTTACGATTCAGCGCGGTAGTTCGGATTTGTATAAGCAGTTGACGGCGCATTATGCATCTCATATCAGAGACGTCAGAATCTGGGATGACGCACTGTCTCAGATAGGCGAGCAATATTTCGCAATCAAGATCCCAAGACAGAGCAACCCGCTGCTGGATATGATGGGAAGCATGTTCTTTGGTGGCGGTCAGGATGGTGCTGGTGCCCGGATGGCACCTCAGGGCAGAGGAGGGTCGAAGAGGGTGGAAGCGCCTCCGACGAGTATGGAGCTCGATTAGAGGGGTGTCAAGGGAATTTGATGTTGTAGTAGACTGCAGTCTGATCGCATCATTCATCACGCATAGTAATTAGTATAGACCATCATATCGCAAACGAATCGGTTAGGCCCTCGAGTCGACTTCAGCCTCATACATCCAGTTATCTTCCTCCAAGGCGGCAACCTTATTGCGAAGGCTCTGGTGTATACGGTTGAGTATTTCTATAGACATCAGCCGAATCGCATCGCAACATAGACCCTGGGAATGTAATCGAGGCTCACCGGCAGGCTCGATACTCATTTGTCTGTTTCGATTCCGATACATCATCTCAACAAGGTTTGCCTCCATCTCTAACTCATTATTAGCTCGCCTGACTTGGGCCCTCGGGGCGCGGAGCTGAATCTCCACCTACTCTCTTTCTCCTGCGCACTCAAATTGCCCCCTGCTGCGCCGGAACCATCGCCGGCACCCACACCTTCTATACCCTCCAATTCCTCACCATCTTCACCAATCAAGGGGGGTAGTACAGGGACATCAAGCTTGTAGCTACCGTTCTTGTCCTTAACCACGATTTCCCCGTTGTCAACGGACCCGGCGCTCAAAGATGTAGGTGCTTCAGACGAACTTGATTGCAACAGCTGCGATGATAGGCCAGAGGTTCCGTTGCTGGTTTTGCCCTGCGCAGATGAACCTGCGGGGCCAGTCGAGCCAGCGCGGTTGCTAATGTGGTGGTGGAAGAGATTGCGGCGGACGGAGGTTGTTCCCATTGCGGGACGTGGGGGTAGTAGGTGTAGAGAAATACTGAATGTGTACACAAGTAGGTATAATGCGTAAGGATGCCTTTAAGCTGGTTAGCAATGTATTTTTGGGTCCAGGCAAAACTGGTGTCGGTAGTCGTGAGGTCGACGTTGTAGCAACCGAAAGGACTGAGTAATTGAATTTAGAAATGGATGGCGAAACTAAAA